GCAGTCTAGACATAGCCTCAAGGTTTGTCATGAACTTTGTTTCTAGCTTACACATATGTCATTTTGTGGTTTATTGAAAATCTATTTTGATTTGACCAAATTATATGCATTTTTTTAAAATCGTATTTTCTTTCGGGTACTGCTTTCTGAATGCTTTTTATACAACTTGGCAATGGGTTATTGACTCTGACTGCATGCAGATGTAAGTTGAATGGAAATTCTGGTTCAAAACATTATTTCTCAAACTTCTTTGGCTTTCTGTGTCAAAGTATGTTGAACATGATCTGAGAATATCTATATGCAGTGAGGCAGAACTTTGAATATTCTGGGTGAAGATGTGTGTGGCACATGAATGTAACTGTCCCTGTTACGTGAATGCATATGAAACAGTCTTTACTGTTCATATACTCTTTTTTCTATAAGATGCTACCTCTTTCTTGGCTTCGGTGAGTTGTTTATGCACAGTGAATGGAGAGGTGGAGAATTAAAGACTTGAAGAATTAAAATCAAGTACATATTTAAACAGTTTCCTTGTTCTCTGCACACCATTAAGGCCCTGCACTGAGCAAGAGAATGTTCCTGAGGGAAAATGTCATTTTGTGATTAAAAACTGAATCATAACATATACACGCTTCAGCACCTCCTGGATTGAGAGTGTTTTAAAACACTATGCAACACTAATTTTCTTTTATTATACATTATCCATGGATTTTTTTAAAAAGGTGACTAGAATAATGTTCATTTACCAATTTAAAGCTTCTGAATCACTAATTCAGTTGCCTTCACGTTTAGTATGAAGACTATTCCTTTTTAAGTTCTAGCCTAATGCAAAATTTGAAGTTGAATGAAGTTGAAAAAGATGTTCAGCGCTACAGAGAAATGTGTATTTAGTCATGTTTGTGTGTATAATTATTTAGCTTTTGTTTTTGAACTTGGGATACTCAAATACCTGAACAGATTTTCTTACAGCTTTGCAAAGTATATATAAAATAAAATAAAAAAATTATGCTGATGCAAAGCATAAAAAGTTGAGTGAATAGTACATCCTATTCTAAGAACGAATGGGATACTTACATAAAAATCACATTTATAAATACCCCATTCGTTCTTAGAATAGGATATACTCGTTACCTGAATGTTATGCTATGCCATGCTTCTGATGCATTTGCAATTCCCTAGACATACAGGGAGTTAAAGATCCTATAGGAGCTATTGTCAATCTTTTTTTCATGTCATGGCCACTATTCTAGTTTATACCCTGACCATTTGCTAACATATAAAATATATGTCCTCACTGACATCTGTTCACCTTCTGGTGAACTGCCTGGGATTCTGACCTCTATAAGGACCCATGTCCTTAAAGCATGCTTTCTGTTAAATGGACAGGCTGAGCCACCAGATTATGTTCAACTATTTCTGGATATAGAATGAAGTAAAGATTTACGGGAAAAGGACTATGTTCAGTGTTTCATTGCAAAAGTAAAATAAAAACTGGGCTTCCAATCCCCATTGGCATTGCTTGTGAGATTCACTTTTCTTTTGTCCCGTCTTTCCTTTGTCCCGTCTATGCTAACTTGGTGATAGTGATCTCTCTTCAAAGGTAAATAATGAAAAAAATGGGCTAAAATAAATCGTTAAGCAGAAACCCAGATTTTGACCTATGTTAAAAACCTTCGCATTCTATGTATTCTGTATGCTTTAATATATATATATTTACTTAAACATAACAAGTCTCTTGCCAGGTCTACACTGGACGTGAAAGGTTGGCTTAAGGTACACAACTCCAGCTACACAAAATGCATGACTGGAGTTGACTTACCTTAAGCTTAGCTGTGGTAGCATCCACACTGCAGGAGGTCAACTGGAGTGTTTGCAAATGCTCCTGTTGGCTTCCCTTATTCCTCACAAAAAGAGGAGTATTGGATGCTGGCAGGAACTTCATTCAGCATTCAATTTATGGGTTTACACTAGATCTGCTAAATTTAACGCTAGAAGATCAACCTCCAGAGTGTTGATCTTGCAGTAAGTATATACGTGGCCTCAAAGGGGGTCTAGTCTCTATCTGAAAAAACAACAAAGTGTTCCATTGCCATCTTAAACACTGACAGATTTAGTTGGACATAAGCTTTTGTGGGTAAACTTCATTTCACTTTGATCCCATGGTATTGCAAGGAGTTTCTTGAGCAGATGGTATAGTTTCTTTTGGTATTCCTCAGTGGCATCAGAGGATAGTGCCCTGAGAATGCAGTATTGAAGTGTTGTCTGGAAGCCTCCTGTTTGTAATCTGACCTATTCTGATGACTACAGCATCCCCTTTGTCAGCCTCTTTGATTATAATGTCAGAGTTGTTTCTGAGGCTGTGGATAGTGTTTCATTCTGCACAGCTGAGGTTATGGGGCACATGATGTTGTTTGTTCACAATTTCAGCCTGTGCACATCTGGAGAATCCTTCTGTGTAGAAGTCCATACTGTGGTTTGACAGTCAGGAGCAGCCCAACCAGATTTCTTCTAGTTTTGTTGGTAGGAGGGGTCCTGTGTGTCAGGGGTATGTTGGAATAATTGCTTGAGTCGGAGTCAGCAAAAATAGGCTTCCAGATCACCGCAGAACTGTATCATATGTGAAAATTCTGTCTGGTAGGATATATTTTGCCTCATAATCTTAGTTATCTTAGTCTCTTACTCTGCTATGGGAAAATTGAGTGGGAGGGGAAAGCTAGATTCGCTTTATGTAGGACCTACAACTTCTGTAGTGCAGAGCCGAACATCAGTGAGAATATATTACTATATTTTGTTATCTGTGTTCTGTTGGTATCTGTAATGTTGGTATGCAGTAAAAGCAATAAAGAAGTCAGAGCCACAAATGACTTGTACTCCTATAATATTTATCAAGTGTAAAAAGACATGTCCCTAAGGGACATAAATGGTACATTCAGGCTTCTGAGTAATATATACAGTAAAAACCAAAAGAAGGGAAATATTTTAGAACATACTTTTTGTTAGAGGATGATAGTGCATTGTGCAGCTATCATAGTTCTGGTTACTTAGGAGATAAATAAGAATTGTATTAATGCTCTTTAAATGAAATTCCAAGCAAAACTGAAATATCTCGTCTAGGAGAGTGTCTCCTTTCCCATAGAAATACCCATTTTGTTTTGGCACCTGTATAAAATGTGCAATTGGAGAGACAACAATTCTGATTTTGTTTTCATGGATGCTTTTAGATTTTCTTCCTTCCATAGTTCACACTTCACAGCGATGACTTTATGCGCACTGCTGCTAAGTTTATTCTGCTGAGAGGAAAATGCTGTGTTTGCTGTTGTTTTCATCTTTGACTGGATAGTTTTGCAACAGACCTCAACAGCTTGACATCAATGTGGTTTTTTTAAAATAGATCTGCAATAATTACTGGTCTCTTTATTTGTGCTATGTGAAAACTGTATTGCAGCATTGAATAGATGATAGATGAAAGATGCTTTATAGATGCTAAGTGAAATAACTTGGTGTAAATGCACCATACTTATAAATTGGGCTGCATGAGTTTTGATGTCCGTGTTTAATTTCTGTTAGCCTTAATGTCAGTTGTTCTATGTGGAAAGAATATATTCCAGTACATTGTATGCTGTGGGAAATGTCTATTACAACCTTTAGCCTTCATGCTAGTCTTAGGAAAAGAAACATCTTCTTTGTCTGGATGTATAATGTATATTAAGACTACTTAACTTTGGAAGCCCTGGGGGTGACGATACTCCCAGCACATGCCAAGGCCACAGCTTAAGCGTGGTTGCATACACGTGCAAATATATACAAATAGATTTTTTTGCACTGATGGGCATGAATGCAAAAATTAAGGCAAGACTACACAATATGCAGGCCCCGTTTAAGTCAGTTCTGCTGTTAGTAATGAAATGCAATATTTATCTGATTTCCACTCATATGACAGCACTTTTAATGAGCAATGGCAGTCCTGGAATTTAACTACTAAAAGCATATCAACAGAAGACCATTAAATTGACTGCTTTTTTGTTTTGGCTTCACAACAGTCCAGGAATTTAACTACTAAAACATATATATCAATCCAAACTGCACTGTAAACCCAAACCGCACCATGGGCCACAAACAAATGGGTACATTGAATAGCCCTGATATATATTGTGAGTATTGTTGAATGTGTATATGTGTGCATAATATAGTACTGATTATATCAACTACCTAACTGTTAAATAGTATGTAAACTGTCTTACATATAATCTTCCAGTCCATTTTCTTTTGTGTACAAGTGGCAGTTCTGTTGTTTTACTTTTTTTAACAACTCGGGTAGCCACAGGAATGACCCATTTCCAGAGCCTCAAATACATTTTACTTCAAAACATTTTAAGATTGGATATAAAAGCCCATGGTATAGTGTAAAATTTAGTGAAGTAAAGATACACATAATCCTCTCAACTAGAAGATACATTTTATCCTTTAGTGTAATGTGTTAAAATCATATTGTATGCCTGATCTTGTTGGTTGCTTAACCTTCACTTTAATTCCTGTCTTTTTTTATCAGCTTTCATATTTGAGAGAGTTATGTGTTTATTTGGGGAACTTTCTTGTGGCTTTGGAGTAGATAAGTATACAACAAGCTTCAGCCATTAAGGCCCCCTGGCCAGACACATAAATTGGGAGGGTTATTATTTTAAGATGATTTCATATAAAATATTCTTTGACCAACATTTCAGCAAGCCATTTTGGTAAAGATTTTTTTATATAATTTATTTTTAAACATCATATTTCTTCAAATATGACAATTATACCCAATTTATAAAGATAATTGCTATTGAAATTAAGTCTTCCAATAAGATGAAATGATAGAGTAATGGAAGAAAAATTCTTGCACGTGTGCACACACAAATTCACTGTGGGTCTTCTCTCCCTGTGGAACTTCCTGATGTTCAAATACTACGGCATGTATAATTGGATTGTAACTGTTTCTCAATAGTGCTTTCTCCTCTTGGCAGCATGGGGTAACCTTGGAAATGTTCTCAAGAGCCAGAGCAAGATCACTGAAGCTGAAAGCGCCTATAGAAATGCCTTGTACTACCGCAGCAACATGGCTGATATGCTTTATAATTTGTAAGTATGCATGGCTTTTCCTGGGTTAGGTCATCTGTGAAACTTATTGTGAATGGAGCTATTGATTTAGTTGTTGGAAATGGAGATTGTTAGCTGTTGCTTTTTTTTTTAATCTTTGTAATAGCCTTTTCATTAATCATGCTTTTTAATCTATGGGGTGGACAGGGCTTCTTTTTGTTTTCATTCATATGATCAGATATCCATGTTGCTGCTCAGTTTTGAAGGGAGCAAATGTAAAAAGGTGGATCCACATAGCCTAAATGTGTGGATCTGGTCTGGAGATAAATACACAAATCTATGCACTCATTAGAAATTCCCTAAATATAGTTCTGACATTCAAATCAGTAATGCCAGCATCATATCACATTTCTGATCACCGCTATAATAGAAGCAAACTGGTGATGTATTTTTGTTTGGATTAATGGATTTTTAAATATTGCTGTGAGATCAAGAGCTGGACATTGTCTAGTATGAACCAATGGTATCTGGTCAGAGCTGAGTAATCTGCTACATCAAAGTAGCTTAGTATTTTTCCCCTAAGTAATTAATACAGGTTGAAGCATACATATGCAGAAAGGTCCCTTGTTCCAATTTGTGTATGTGCGCAGGAGAAGGAATAATATGAAAAGCTGAATGACAACAATGCAGTAGATATGTTATTTCTGACTCATTAATCTTTTTAGATAATAAGCAGCCTTGCCATAGCACAAGCTTATTAATATCTTGAGTATCTGACAATAGAGCATGAGAGGAGGGGGGATTCTGTGTTTGCCTCAGGTGTGCTTCCAGCTCAAATTTGCTTTATACATGAGTTTCCTTTTGTCTCTAAATCTACCAGTGCATCCTGCTGTCTTGATGTCAAGCTGCATATTGTGTTGTAAGTTATCACCTACAGCAGTGGTCACCAACCAGTAGATTGGGATCTACTGGTAGATCTTGGAGCTTCTGACAGGTGATCCTGACTGATTTGGTCAAGAGGTTATCAAGCATTTCAACTGCCCCCAGACTGCTACAAACCTCCTGCCCTTTGCCTTGGAGCTGTCCCTTCAGGAGCCTCTGCTTTCTGTGTAGTGTAGGGGAGACAGAGGAGGCTGCTGATATAAAGGTGCCCTCTCTTCCACCCCGTATCCTATTTCCACACAGCAGAGAGAGGAGGCACAGCAGGACTTGGGATGGAGTTTGCTGACTGCTTTTGGGAGTGATGCAGGGCCAGGACAGGGGTGAGCCTGCCTTAACCCCCTGGCACCACCACCCAAGAGCCTTCTGAGATAAGCAGTGCCCAGCTGCTGCCCACATCCCCAAACCTTAACCCAGTCATGAACCCCCTCCTGTATCCCAAGCCAGAAGGGCGGCGCTAGGGGACCAACCCGGCAGCACCCAGCTGCTCTGTCCCTGGCTTCTCCGATTCAGCCACTGCTGAAGTTGACCAGCGGCTGACTCGGGGAAGCCAGGGGCAGAGTAGCTCTGCCTCCAGCTTCCCCAAGTCAGCCGCTCATCAGTTTCAGCAGCGGCTGACTTGATGCCTGGGGCAGAGCAGCTGGGGTGTTGCCAGGTTGGTCCTGCAGCACCGAGGGGCAGCGCTAGGGGACCAACCCGGCAGCACCCAGCTGCTCTGTCCCCGGCTCTGACCAGCGCTGACTACAGGAAGGCCCAGGCAGAGATGCTCTGCCCCCGGCTTCCCAGAGTCAGCCGCTGGTCAGTTTCAGCAGTGGCTGAATCGAGGAAGCTAGGGAACAGAGCAGCTCCAATTGTCCAGCTGCCCGGAGCACTTCTGGGTTCCAGATGGTGCCGGACCATCAGGAGTGCCAGACCATTGGATGCCGGACCACTGGAGTTTTACTGTAATCTCATTCCCACAAATTCTAGTCAGTTGATTCACTAAAAGTAAACTTGCCAATTGCCAGGATAAATACAATGGGAACTTAGCTCCATTTTTGTTTTCAAAATAGGCTAGTGAAGTCCTTACATTGCTATAATTTATGTACCAAAAATAAGCATGATTTTCTTCTAACTATAGACTGTGCATGTAATGCGGGTGGAGTTCAGGTTGCACATGGGTTCTCAAAAGGTTATTTTCAGATGCTTCTAATTTCGTTCAATATAAGTTTTTTTGGCTGATGCTTACCATATTATTTCCTCAGCAGCAGATTTTTTTTTTTTTTTTTGTTTAATAGTTCTCCCATTTTTAAGAAGGAAAGAGAAGAAAATAAACCACCATTTTATCACTTTTTAAGAAACATCTCCTGCTTCTGAGCAAGAGAAATTTGGCAAGGATTATGATCTCTAAATTGCAGATGGTTGGGTGAAATTCAGGATTACTTTGATTTAATTGTGATTTTACAAATACGTTTGTGCATGTGTACTGTTCCTTCCAGTCAATTGACATTCTTCTAGCATAACATTGGCAGTGAACTATATTGGATGGAAATTTCCAGTGAGTAGGTAGTTTCTTGGTATTCCTTCTGGACCATGGATGTTGCTGGAGCAGAAAGTCCCAGATTTGGGAGGTTCAACTTGTACTTTTATGGAATTATATGAGAGTGATCATGGAGGAAGGTGAGGAAATTAATATTAGCTACCAGACACATGTTGCAGAGCCTTAATTATTTCAAGAAGCAAACAGAGTTTGTCAAATTTCAGTTTACAGGTAGGGTATCTTCAATTTCTTACCGTCCCCTCCCATGATAAGATCCTTTATATGACATAAGAAATACATTAGGTTGTTAGCACTAACCTTTTATAGCTGCAGTGAAGCACTTGTTATGAGGGAGAGGTTTTATAAGCAACGTAATCATCTGAAAAACTGATAGGGTCAAATCCTTACTCCATTGAAGTTACTAGGAGTTTTGCCAGAAACTTCAGCGGGACCAGGATTTCATCCATAGGTGTTTTGATATTGATAGAGAATATATTACTCAATGAAAAGTGTTACCTTTCTAAAACACAAGTCAAATACTCATGCATATATTGTTCCTTCTCTACGATGCTTCTGAGAGAACCTCAGATTTAATTTTTCAATAAATCTTAGGAGATAAATTCTCTTCTAATGGTGCTTTATGTAACTGCATTGATTTTGGCTGGATTGCTTGAGGTGTAAATCAGCAAAGAATTTACCCCCTTCCCTTTTTTAACAAACCAAGACCTTGAGATGTTTTCTAATATTGGAATTACCAAAGATAGTGCTACAGGAAAAAAATACTGTTGCTCCTTCTCTCAAACTGGATACTACTCAGTAAAGTTAAGAGAAGAAACTAATGCTTTCTGGCTTCACAATCTTAGTTTTATTAATACAGTTTAAATATCATGGTTTTTTTCCCCTGTATGACTTTGCTACTCATTACTGCCTAAAGCAAAATTGCCTTGCAGTCTACAAGACAGTTTTGTCTGTGTAATGTCATTTGTGTCAGGGTTGAGTCATGGTTAGGGTGCTCTGTAAGCATTTGTACTAGTAATTAGATATCAGCTTGAAAATTTCAGCAGGTTTTCAATTTATTCAGAAAACTCTGACTTGAAAACCTCTGAAAGTAGAAGTAGGTAATGAGCATTTAAATGCTGAGAGTTTTCAGTGAAGCTTATCCCAGTGAAACAGAAACAGTAATGTATTATGAGTGAAATTCTTGCCCAATTAGTGAATGATAAAACTCCCTTGACTTCATTGGAGACATGTCATGAAAGATCTAAGAGAACAATTTATTATACAAACATAGTCCGTTTTCTATATTTTCGAGGTATCATTAAAAAAACTGAATTCTCTAGGTTTTTAATTTCTGCCAAAGTATTTGCTATTGCTATTCCTTTCTACTTTAACATCTTTTGATTTTCAAATTTCTAAATATTGTTAGGAATGGAGACTACTATACCTGAGTAATAAATGACATTTTAGTCTCTTCTAAGTTCTGATGACAGTAGTATTTTATATACTAGCTATATTTCTGTGTTTCTACATACAGAATCTCTGTGCAAATTTGTGTGTCAAAATCTTCCTCAATCCTCTATAGTTTGATTCCAAAAGGCAAACTTAAAGAAAAATAAGCAAATTAGTAAGGGCAGGGGCGGATATAGGGCAGGGAGAACGGGGCAGCCGCCCCAGGCCCCGCGCTTAAAAAAGCCCTGCGCTTAAGAAAGCCCCGCGCATGCGCCGTGGCAAAGGGGGGGCCCCGCGGAGTTATGCTGCCCTGGGCCCCGCAAAACGGTCATCTGCCCCTGAGTAAGGGGGTTCCCTATCAGCTGTGTCTTTGGGCAGCCACCCAGGAGAGATTCAGGTGCTGCTTAGAAGCATAGCCAGCAGCATGTGTTTCTACTGGTGATGCACATCCATATGTGCTCAGAATCTAACCGAACACCATATTTGGGATCAAGAGGGAATTTTCCCCAAGGAATGTCAGAGACCCTGCAGTTTTTTTGGGTTTTTTTGCCTACCTCTGTAGCATGGTGCACTGGTCGCTTGCTGGATTAACTTGAAGTCTTTAAACGGTGATTTGAAGACTTCAGTACAGGCAGTCCCCGACTTACGTGGATCCGACTTACATCGGATCCGCACTTACGAACGTGGCTTTTCTCGCCCCGGAGCTCACGGGCGGCAGGTCGCCTCCCGTGTCCTCCGGGGAGAGAAAAGCTTCTCCCGGTCTCCCTGGTCTGCTGGGGGGGTCCAGCAAAGCCGCTGGACCCCCCCAGCAGACCAGGGACACCCAAGCAAAGCTGCCGCCTGGGCGGGTTTGCTCGTTTGCCCGGGAGCAAAGCCGCCCAGGCAGCAGGACCCCTGCCCCCTGGGTGGCTTTGCTCCTGTCCCCCTGGG